AGGTCATCAGCTGCATGTCCTGCCATGTTCCTGTGAGTCAGTACCTTTGGACTTTGGCCATTTCTGTATGGTCTTGTGCTAGTGAGTTATGTTTTGTCAAAGTGCCTTTCCCTAGGGCTTGTTTCACCTCTAGAACAAACTGTTTGGTTAACAGTTCACAGAACTGTGCTGCTCAGAAAAGGATGCGAAGAGGAGTTAGTTCCCAGCACCCTGAGTCTGTGTCACTTCTGTATGTGCTAATTGAGTCATTTCAGACTTCCTGACATTACCAGCTTATGTCTGGCCACGTGGTGGTTTGAAGAGAGACACCCTTCCCCAACTTCCTCTCTCCCTTTCCAATTTTGGATTCCGCTTGCGGGAGGGAAGGCATCTCCTTGCACAGCATATCCCAGCTCCTCAGTTTCAGGCTGGCTTCCTCTTTCCTACTTAATTCCTGTCCTTGAGAACTGCCCTGATCTCCACCAGCAAAGGCTGGACTTGATGTTGCAAGAACTGCTGCCTCCCATGGGAGCAGGTGATGCATGAGTTACTCCTGCCTGCACAAGGCCACGCTCTCAAGGCTGTTTGCTTTATTTAGGTTACTGATGCTCTTCAAAACAAGCCTCTTTTATAATTTACATATCTATATTAAAATCTGGACACCCTGGGGTTAAAAAATAAGAACCTAAGAGTTGGCAAGTGAGCTGTATTTGTTACCATTTCTGTGTGTCTCACGATCCTCCGGGCACCTGGATGCAGCCCTAGACAGCTTGTGGTGATCTAAGCATGAAGTAGCTCTGCTGCAGTGCTCTGGGTTTGTTCTGCACTGGCGTGGACAAAACGTTTCTGTGGTCTGACACTTCAGGTGTCATCTAGAAACCTTTATTAGGGTCCTGTCAGCAGCATTTGATGGGACTGCCTTTCCCATTTCTGTGCTTTTCAGTTAAGACCTGGGCTTTCTAAACCTGCCAAAAATAAACAGGAGTGCTGGGGACTAATGAGTGATTAAATGTTAACAGGGTTAAAATGGGTGAAAGATGTGAATGTATAGTGTCTTTTCCAGTACTCCGTTTCACTGAAGGTGATTTAAGTTGCAGTGTGCAGGTTGAAAATGGAGTGAGCTGCTAATTGCTCTAACGAAAATACAGCATTATCTGCACTGGATTTGTTACTCAAAGGATCAACATCCTCATGTTCCTCCATTCCTGTGCAAGTATTCAGTGAATTTTAGGTGAGCTTTATGTCCAGTTGATGCAGTCATGCTTTCTTGTAGCTTACCAGAGCTCTTGGGATAAGTATCTATTGTGAAAGCAGAATGGCTCCCAAATATGTCTTTAAAAAATTTGAGTACAAAGCAAATTTATAATCAGAATCTGCCATTAATACAGAGCTGTAACAGTTTGGAGTTGTGTTTGTCCAGTGGAAAAGAGTTTGTGCTTTTTAATATTCAGCCATTTGCAGATGGTATGTCAGACAGCTGAAGGGGTGAGGACTAATGATGGTAAATTCCTCTCACGTGTGGTCTTTGGAAGGTGTACATCTTGGGTTTAGGGTTTGCTGGTGTAGTATTGGCAGCATCCCTGTGCAGTGGAGGTGTGGTTTACACCACCCAAATGACTCTCTTAATGGTGCAAGTTCCTCAGCTTCGGAGGTTTCTCATCTGTATCAATGTATGGGGCCAATATGTCACTTTCTCTTCAGGTTCATAAACTTTGGGTGGTGCTTGCTTTATTTTTGGTCTTGCATTACTCGCTTCAGTTCCTTTTCTGGCAGTGCATTTTTAAGCTCTCCTATTGCCTTGCTGATTTACGGTGCCAGGTAAACCTGTTGATACTCCTGTAGCACTGGTGGAAAGTAAGTTCTTCGAGCAGCATGGTTAGTTAAATATTTGTGTATGGATTATCTTTTGTCACTCTTAAGTAACACTGCTGTTAGAAAAGTGAACTGTTTCAGCTCTTAGGACTGGGATTAAGGAGTCAAACTTTGCTTTAAAGGAATCCAGACTCAAAACTGATTATGTTTGAATAGGGAAAGGGAAGAGCAGGAATTAAATGGCTTAGTCAGACTTTTTTCCCACTTTAAGGAGAAACTTTTTTATACAGAGAATATTTACAATGTGGAGAAATTGGGGTGTGCATCACAGACAAACATGAAGTATTTTTCGTCTTATAAGTTATTATATGAAGTTTTCTTTAATGATCTAAGGTAAAAATGAAGCAGAAGGACAGGTGGGTTGAGTAGCTTTCCTAGCATCTACCTTTGTTGCAGTTTCAGAAGCTGAGTTTCATAACACTTGATGAGCAAATGATTTGATTGCTGTTGCAATTGAGTCGAAACTGTGGCACCACTCTTGTCTCGGTTCAGGTTTGCCTCAGGTCCTTTTTGTTGTCAGGACTTATCTTTGCTAGAATCTAGTTCAGCGTTTTTCTCACTGTGATCAGTAGTTCAGTCTCCAGTGGGTGAAGCGGTGGCGACTCTGGGCCTTTCAGCTCCTGCGTACTCCAGGCTGTTCAGGAAGCCAGTGGTTGCTCAGCCTTCTTCCATGTCTGAGGCCGTGCCCGTGGAGGCCGTTGGACTTGACTGTGAGAGTCCAAGGAGAAAAGTAATGACTCCATGTACTGCAGAGCCTCAGAAGCAGTGAAACCGTTGCCTTCATCTGCTGTGCTCTCCTTGGAGTACTGAACACTCCCTGTGTTGGCAGAAGCCCCTCATGTGTGTGGCTCTGTTGAGAATCTGCAATTTTGCTGCATTTGTTTGTTTTACCTGGATGAAGCGTGGCTGGAATAAGCTGTCCTAGCAAGACTGTGGTTTGGCTGATGTTTACTGGGGCACTCAAGGAATGTTTTGTAGATACTACACACAATAGACATGTAGAGTTTGTAGTGGAAAAGCAGGCATAAACTGCATCTAGTGTAGAGAAATATGTAAGTGCTCAAGAGCAAGTGTGAGAAAATTGGCACAGTGAGATGTTATGTCCTGATTTTTATGATAACTGGATTGTGTGGTGACTAGTAGTGGGTTACAGAAGAGCCAGACCCTGTTGCAGTGCTTTTATACTGTTAAGCTGTACTGTCTTGCACATCTCTGTCAGTGGAGGTGGCCAGGTTTCTTTCTAGTTTGTAGGTCTAGTGGATTCTGGACAATTTTCTTTATGATGGGAATATGTTATCCAAGTGAAAAGTTACATTTTTCATCTTCTCTGCATTTCCACTCCCCTCTCACTCCTCCACAAAAAAAATAAATTTTAAAAATTCCAACTGCTGTTTGTGTCTAAGATGAGTAGAGTGAAAAATGCAGAAGAGTTCTTAAGTCAGACTCTGAATACCTGGTTTTGCAGATGTTTAGCATTCATATCTACCTTTAAAATCCAGTTGTTAATGTTTTATTTTCATTTGTAGGCTCCTTTATTTTGAGCTAGGTCATGCCTATGTGTAATGATTAGGACAGACATGGCTAAGGCAAAATCTGTTGTAATAGTCTGTAAGTCAGAATAAGTCAGAGGGGCAGGACAAATTCCATTTCTGAATCTGAGAAAAATTCAAACTGTTGTAAAATACATGGTGAGGCTGGGGCAATTTGCATGAAGCATCCCATGTTGTGTGTGCAGCTGATGCCTTCCCCTTGTGTTTCCAGATTCGTCTAACTTGGAATTGATATTTTTAGTTATGTAGTGAAGATAAACAGATATTACTATGCAGGCTTTGCACTCTTGTGTAGTCTCAGATATATCGTTACTGAACACTTTGAGATGCAGGTTTTTAGTGGGAAAAGGGATCTTTAAGATTATTAACTGGTGTGCTGCATTGGTATTGCTTTATTAATGCAAAGATAAACACTGATTATAGAAGTTGATGGTGTGAGAATATAGAATGGTATGGAAGGAGTTGTTGCTGGTAATATAGAGGAACTACTTCATGGAGTAAACGTTGTCATTTATCTAGTGAGAGAATCAAAATTTCTGTGGCAGTTTGTGCATTGTGGTTCCTTTAAAGGAAGATTTTGTGTGAGCACGTGAAGTGTTTTCAGAGGCTGCTCGTGTTTATTGCACAAGAGCAAGAGTTGGCTTTGTACAGTGCTGATGGAGTCGGGTGCCTGCACACACTTGTTGATAACTTGGACTTCAGAGTTTTGTTTTTCAAAAGCCTTTTGAGGCATGGTAGTTAACTGTGCTTGCCCTACAGCGTGGGCAGTTCGAGATTTAACCTCAGGCTAGAGAGGAATATATAGTGGGAGCATGGGATGGGTGAGAATTACCTGTTTATTGCTTTACCTTTAGGGAAGGTAAGTGAGAAGAGCTTGTTTGCACACAGAACCGTTGCAGCTATTGCTTATTTTTCCTTTTGGTGCAAGTGAAAATGTCCAAGGGAATGTGGGATTGTGATTGGAGGAGGGGTGGAATTTTAGATAGGCATGTGGCCTGAGGAATGTGCCTTAGTGTTTTGTTATTATGTTACACTCCAGATAACTCTGAATTAATTTCCCTTATTCTTTCAGCTGTTTTTCAAGATCATAATGCAGCAGAAAAATGAAAAGCCATAGAAGACATTTGCTTTGGAAAAGAAGTCAGTTGCTGGCCCAATCTGGAAGATGGACCGCTGTTTTTGGGAAGCTTGGGAAATACTGCTTCCAAAAGCAATTTTTCCTAACTTAGAAGAAAATACAGAGTGCTCAGCTATTTGTGAGTTTAAATCCCAGCAAACTGTACAGAAGACTGCAGTGCATAAGGAAGACACTTGAGCTCCAAAGCAGGTGGGCTCCTCATGTGCTTCTAAATGCAGAATCCTGTCCAAAACCTACTTTTGAATCATACAGCTTTCCTTACAAAACTACTGAGAGCAAAAGGATCCCGTCCCTATTGCAGAACCGAAAGCCCATCTGGAGAAGCAGTAAGGAAACTCAACAATGAACCCTTTGAGAGTGAAGATCCCTTGAATGAAGAATTTGAAACTGTTGCTGTTCTTAATAGCATCTCTGGCAATATCCATTATGTCTCATGTGGTACGCTGGAAGGTTCTGCCTTACCTGTAAAGGAAGGTGGTTTTGTATATAGTGGGGAGGAGAGCAATAATGGTGAGGGCAACACAGTCCTGGTAGTTTTAAACAACTATAAAAGGAAATGCTGTTGCAAAGGGAGTGGAATGGAACTTGTGGCCTCTTGACAGCTCTGAAGAGGTCCAAATTTAACCATCATACTGTAAAAAAGAGATTTTTATTTATGATGCATAAGAAACTTTCTATGGTTAGGTTTCGGTATAGAATCATAAAGTCCCCGAAACTTCGAGCAAGAGGCAAAACTTGCAAACTGAGAAAAATCAAGCCAAGGTGGGTGAAGAAAGCTACAAGGGACCATCAAGAGACGCTTCAGTGGGATTTTGAAAGTGGATTGTGTAATTGGTTTTCCTACTGGAAATCTAAAAGTAACCGTCTTTGGAACCGGTACAGCTTATCAGATATGAACAATAATACACCCAAATCTTTAGGTGAGGAGAATGAAATCTGTGCACCTGCGATCTGCCGTACACAGGACGCGTTACCGTCTGCTGAGCCGTGTTCTGAGGGTCCGGGATCCGGAGGGCAGGATGGCAGTGTGGATGCTGTCCCACCAGAACTGCATGTTAGCGCTTCTCCAGAGGCAGAGGCCTTGCACCAGGTGGAGACCAATGGGGCTCTGTCAGAGAATCATTGTTCTGACATTTTTGCCCCCGCGACAGAAAAACAAATTGCTGTTTCAGATCAAGATGGTGCAGAATCCAAGGAAGCTATGGGTGTAGATGGAATGACACTGTCGCAATCCTCCGTGCAGGATTCTGTTGTTGATGATAATTTTGCAAATGGACCTTTATCCATGGAGCTGACACAAAATGAGGACAGCTCTAGCCAAATGGAAGTAGAGGGCTCCTTGGACATTTTTAGTTCAAAATTACTAGATCACCCTTACTGTAAAAGTCCTCTCGAGGAGCCTTCACCAGAAAGCACAGGACTGAAATCAGGAACTCGGAAGGGAGGCAAAAGGAACAGTCAGAAAGCTTCCCGGGTGGCTGATGAGCAGTTGGCAACGTGGCTTTGTGGTACACCTTTTACATATCTTAGGGCATCCAGGAGTTCCTGAAAACTGCTGGATGTATTGTGGAGTTTACATGTTGCATTAATTCCTTTATAAAAATGGTTTCTTATCGTGAATTGTAAAGGCTGCTTAGCGTAACACTTGCTGAAGTGAGGCTGCAAAGAGGAGAGCTGCATGGAGGAAGGACAAACCAATGGTTATCTGACAAGCTATTCTGAGGAATAGTTGAGGGGTGCCTCTGCTTATTTTGTTTTAGAGAATACAATGTAATTTAATTGGAATCTTTGTGAAAAATTGTTGATGGAAATTTTAAATGTCTGATGTGGTTTCAGAAGATGATTCAGTTTTTTAAATGTTTTAAATTATTACTCTTAATTAGGTTTTTGAAAATCCTAGGTATTCTAATACTTCCACCCTTATCCTCTCTTCTCTCGATCTCTCTTAGACTGAAACTAAATCACTTAAACTCAGGTTTTGATAGCCAAATACTGTTCATTGTCCCTTAGCTTTCTCTCTGATTGTTCATAGAGTAAGCTTAATGAATCTTATTAGACAATACTTTTTAAAAAGGCAAAACTAGACTTAGCAAAGGTTCAGCAAAAAGGCTTTGGGATTTTTTTACTCAATGCTGAGCATGCAGTATATGATAGTCTCTCCAAAGAGGAACATGATAAAAATAGTAATGGTGTCTCACTTATGTATAGCAGCATACTACACACATCGTAAGGAGCAGTAAGCTAACACGTTGTGCCATCTGATACCATTAATGTAAGTTCAGTGATGTTCTGACAACTGAAGTCTTCCTTTGGAGAAACTGCCTTTATAGAGCCCCATACACCTGAAGCTGTTGTTAACTAGTGTTAAAGGGATTGTTTGAAGTTTGACATGCTCTGATTATTCTGCCCACCTTTTTGTCCTTCACTTTTGCAATTGTTTCTCTAAAGCAAAATACGAAAAAGGAGACAGTGAACCTCAAAAAAGGATTTAGCCTTCCACATCCATATCTGCATGGGAGATGTGTGGGAGGTGTTTCTCTGTGACTGGCTTTATGTGATCCAGCAAGGACCAGACACTGTGAGAAACTGAGAGAAACTGTGGTACCCCAGTGAACAGACCACTTCTGCAATGGAGTTTTGAAGTTTGTCCATCAGAAAAATGGGTGTAGTCTTTCTGTAACAGTCAAGAACCAAGGCTGTATGGGAGTGGCAAAGGTTAAGTTTTTGTAGTCTGGTAGGCAGTCATGTTCTTGTTCATGAGAGGCCTGAATAGTTTAAAAAAATAAAAAGGCAAACAGCAGATGCACTAAACTTTCTCACACTTGACAATTTTAAGAGAATTCTTACCTAACCTCTGTATGAAAGTAGGTGAGACCAGTTTCTGTTTTCTTCAGAGCTGAGGTTTCCTCTCAGAGGATTGAAGCCAAGTCCATGCTACGTACATATTCGTACTGTACATACACGTATACTGTTAGTATAGCACTTTTGAGTTTTCCTAGCTGACAAACTGTAAAAAAAAAAGAATTTTAGTTGTGGTATAACTATGTATAGGAGTTCTTGTGTGTTTAGGAGTGTTAATATTAACTGCACCCTAAAAGACAGTGCTAACCTGGCAATAGAAGCTTGAAGGAGATGTAAGTGTTAGGGCTGCTCTCAAGTTTCAAATTTCTCTGCAGCAGCTGAACTGGGATATTAATGGGCTGCACTGCTTAGTGCATTCTGATGTACTATTAGGTATCAAACAGAGCCCTGTGGTAAATCCCGTTCATTATGGGTATCTGAGTTTGCACCAGGGCTGAACTTTGTGTTTCTTCCTTGAGTTACACCAGCCCAAGCGAGGTCAGGGTCTAGCTAGAAGTCTCCTGGAACTCTGCTGCTGTTAATTGTAATGACAAGAACAATTCTTCCTCAGTGTATGGATGAAAAGCTTTTTAAATTTTTATATACTGAAAGAGAATAAGGTGCACTCATAAGCACCATGTGTTGTCTATCTAGACTGCTACCCAGAGTGAGAAATGTCCTCCCTGTCACAGTGTACTGAGATGTAAGGGATAAAAGTTGTTAGGCAAATGTGAGGCAGAGTTGCAGGAAAGGTTATCTTCCCATGAAGAATGTTTCCTTGTGGTCTGATCTCGCTCCTCAATCCTCCCTGCCATCCTTCTGTCACACTTGTTATATCTTCACTGCTTTTCTTGACTCATTGTGTTTTGGTTTTTTTCCTTGGTCTCTCTCCTTTCTTTTTTTATTCTTAGTGCTGTTTTTCTGCCACTTTTTTTCTGTTGAATGTTTCTCTCATCTCGCTTCTTCCTATCTTGACCTTGGAAGTGTCCAGGAAATATTGTTAAAGCCTTGGTAAGCAGAGAACTGAACATACGTTGCACTGTGTAGTGATGTTTTCTGCCATCACATCCCGGCCTGAGAAGAGTCCTGGGCTTCACATTAGTGCAGTTTCCCTGGACTCAGATCTCAGATCGAGCTTTCTTTACACAGAACATGTGTTTTCTGCTGCATTTGAAAATTCATTTTCAAAAAGCTGGACACCTTGGTCTTTTTTCATTTGTTCACTAGCAAGTGTTGAAATCCTGTTCTCCCTCCGTTCTCTTTCGTTCTCAAAGTGGTTTTGGATGCTTGTGTGGAATTTATATCTCTAGTCTTCCAGTCTTATGTTTGAGGAAGAAAAAAAAAATTATTTTCTAAGGTTTTTAATTCCTCCAGCATTCATCTCTTCATTACTTACAAGTTAGTATCTTTTGTTTCTGCTGTTGCGGTCGCCCAGTGCTTTCCTGGGCAATGGCAGGCTGACATGGCTGTCCATGTCACCTTAAATACCATCCCTGCGATACAAGGGTAAAGGAATTAAACTTGCTGGGAGTCTGTCTGGCATCTTTTCCGTTTGCCGTGGTGGCAGCAGCAGAACTGAGCAGACTGGAAACACTCTGCCAGCTAAGGCTGCCTGCGTTTGAGGAGAGTAATTCTGCCTGCCATAAGGACAGGATACTGTGGTTTCAGTGAAACCCATTGCAGGAACTGATGGCTTTTCATGTTGCAGTAAAATGATTTAAGTTTGATGTAGATACGTGTATGTGTAGATTTGTGTATATATGGCAAGAACGAGGTCTGATCTTTTCCTGTAAAGCTGAGTGATCAGATTCACACGTCTCTGTTTTTGTGCTTCTTCCCCTACCCCTACTTTTATATAACGCTGCCAATTTGAGCTTAGTTTTCTTAAATATATGCTTGCCATGTGTGGTGCTGTGTGTTGGTTGGGTGCAGTGATTGCTGCTCGTACTTGTAAGAACTGGCTGCTTTGTTGGAGTGGTGGACTCAGAAGGTTTTTATATGTTTGCACTTTCATTTTTTCTGGTATATTTAAAGGATTCCTAGATGAAGTTATGAAGAAATATGGCAGTTTAGTACCACTCTGTGAAAAAGATGTCATGGGAAGATTAAAAGAAGTCTTTAATGAAGATTTCTCCCATAGGTGTGTAGCACATTCTACAGTTGGTAAAGGACAGATTGCTTGCATTGCTGTTGCATGCTCCATGTCTAACAACTAGCAGAACAGAACTCTGTTTAACATGACTTTGACTTAATTTTTCTCTACGTTTTCAATCCTGTTTTAGAAAACCTTTTATCACCAGGGAAATCATGAAGTATCGGGAAAAACATCCAAAACCCTCCACTTGCAATTTCCGGGTCTTCTATAATAAGCACATGCTAGATATGGATGATTTGGCTACACTGGAAGGCCAGAACTGGCTGAATGACCAGGTCAGAAATGCTTGGTGTTCATGTGCTTCTCTAGCCCTTTTTAGCCCATTTGTATTAGAATGTCAGTTGTGCATCTTCTGCTAACATTACAGGTGGACTATCCTTACTTTATGTTTGAGAAATAGAAGGAGTGGTGGGCAGCTTTTACAGTGACAAGTGCAGTTAGTCTGGAAGCTGGGAGGTGTCACAGCTAGACTGGTTCCTTTTGAAAAAATGATGTTGCACTATTTTCATAAAACAGTGGCTACCCATACAGGTTTTGGAAACTCCCCCCATCCCCAAGCTTAAGAACAACGAAGTGAAATAGCAGACTGTGGCCCACAGCCAAAAAACTGAGAAGGCTGCAGAGCCCAGGGCATGCACCAATAGATTTAAATTGAATTAAACTACATTTAAGACTGAGAGAGACTTGAAGCAGCCAGTTATGATCTCTCTGCAGGCTGACCACTATTAGTTCCAGAGTGCTTGTCCTTCAGACCATGTTACTGTAAAGGCTTCTCTCCATATTGCTGTTTTAATGTGATGGGTCCTGTGTTTTGTGGGAACTTGTGAATTTGGGTCTTACAATATTATGCTGTATGTATTCAACTATTTACTGACTCTTACAGATAATTAACATGTATGGTGAACTCGTAATGGATGCAGTCCCTGAAAAGGTGAGGGGTTTTGCTATCATGCAAATGTACCTTATTGAGACATTGAGGGGAAGGGTGAAACTGAATTTCAGATACAGAATCGAGATTCAGCTCAATCATGTTTTGAGTGGTGTTCCTTTTCAGTGGTGTTGCTCTTGTTTCAGGAACTTGTATTAGCTCTGCAGGTGGTCTCTGTGGTAGCTTAATGTTACTGATGTACCTGTAGAAGACATTTGGCCAGTGTTCACCCATCCCACTCTTCTCTCTCCCCTGGAGGTTTCTGTCTCCAGCTTATTTACTTCTAAAGGGCTGTGTCCATGCCCTTGCTTACCAGTCTGGTGTTTCAGCTGAAATTTCTGATGAAGATGAATTTCTGCTGAGATGACAAACCATGAGTGTTAGCATCTGAACCATGCACATGAGCTGCTTGCACTCACCCTCCCGCCCACCTCGTAGCTGTGGGGGCTGTAACAGCTCAAGCTGTGTCAGCTGCCTGCCTGGTGAATGTGAATTGATGTGGAGCTGCTTGGTTCCTTGGCAGTATTGACTCTGCAGGACTCTGTTTTGTGCATCCTCAACAGAATGCTTACTGCTTTGCAACTGCAATGCCTGTTGGTGGCACTTGAGAAAAAGCAAAGAAAAAATAATCAAGAAAACAAGTTCCTCCCCCCCCATTCTGTGACTAAATTTGCAGCAGTGACAATTATAAAACCCCATCTGTTTATTAGTAGGGCTGTACAATTTTCAGGTGAGACCACAAAGGAAGAACCAAACAAAACCATTCTTAGATTAGCTCTGCAGAATGTAACTCTTAAAATCTTCAAGCCCAGAAGAAAGAGCATTGTTGCTTTGATTGGGAGGTGATGGCGGTTCTTCATTAGTATTCTCTGTACTTCCCGAGTGTGTCCCGGGGTTGGGGTATTGGAGATTGTATCTGTTTGCTTGTGTCTGCTTTTTCTTCATAGTGCATAATTGAAATCCTCATGGGAGGTTTTGTGCTGGTACCTCAGAATGTGGTTTTGAAGTCTGTTGGCATAGCTAATGGGTGTTAGACTGTTTTCAGATGCTGAATTTTCTAACTTTTTTTTTCAAGTAATAACTCGAGCCTTCTACCACCTCTACACTAGCAGAATTATTAAAAGCAGATGTTGCAGATTTCTGTTTGTATTAATCTGTTCTTGTAATTGCAAGGAGCTAAGCACAGAGAGTAATAGTGTTAACCTGGAGCTAAATTTTTTTTTTAACATAAGCCTCCATTTTTTTGTCATAAATGTAGATTTTTACTTACAAAATGGATCTGTCATTCCTTAAAAATGCTTTTCAATAGTAGAATATTGTTTTTGTCGGGAACTGGTCATAGTAGTTGAATACAGAAGACCATGTTGTTGGACTAAATCTCGTAACTGTTTTGATGAATTCTTCTTTTTTTGTGTCTCAGCTTCCAGCAACTAAAGCCAGAAGTTACTCCCTTCTTCACCACCCCCACTTTTCCAGTCCAATGTTCTCTTCCTTGATCCCTGTAAAGAACAACAAAAACTATAATTCCTTATCATGGTGTTTTTCTCCCAAGTCTGTCCCCAACAAAAAAATTAAACATGATATGCCTGGAGATACAAAAATGTAAATATAAATGCTGCAGTGGCTCACATCATATATTACAGGGAAATAAGGCTTATTTTATTAGCTTGCTGAAGAGCAGCAATAGTTTAGGCTTGGCAAAGCCTCTGTCCCTACTGGGGTTGTGTTTCTAAACCTGCATTAAATATTGCCTCATTACAAGTTGTTTTGTATAAATTATCCTGGGGGAAGGGGAATGACTGTGCATGAAGATTTCTGTGCTCATTCCTCCTCTCTCTCTTTTTTAGGTTCATTTCTTTAACAGCTTTTTTCATAGACAGCTCGTAACCAAAGGATATAATGGGGTAAAACGATGGACTAAAAAGGTATCCTTGTTAGTTCTCGGGTTCTGTTGGGCTGGGCTGAATCACTAACTTGAAACTGGGTTACAGTGTGTTATCTGCAAAGGATGGATTGGCGAAGGAGCTGAACAAATTGGGGAGAGCTTGATAAAAATAGTGTGGCACTGTTCAAGTTAGTATGGGAATGTTGTGAAAATGTGCTTCTGTAATGGCTAAATCTTCAGTGGTAGGTTATCTCTTTGTGTATGTTCATGCAAGTTGTTAATTTAACTGCAAGAAACATCTCCTACTGCTCCTGGCAGTTCCAGGTACACTAATCTGTGGGAGACCAGACTTAATTCTGCTTCTTCCTTTTATCTCAAACTGGCATTCTGTGACAAAATCAAGTTGTTACTCCTGAGTAACACATAGAGGTACTAGAAAGCAGAAATTAGAGACCCATGGTTAATAAGCCAAACTGTTGTTCTCAAGGCAAGAATAGAATTCACCTTGCTTTCCAGAACCCGTACCAGATCATGGGCTCTGATATTTTCAGAGGCAGCTAATACAAAGAGCAATACTCTCTTTTTTTTCTATGAACATTTGTCCTTTCTAATATGGGCAATGGGGCAAGACTAATCAAGGGCCATGTTTGAATGTATGATCTTTCTACAGAAGCACTTAAATAGCACACATCTGTGAAATGCTAGAGATGAACTCATTATCTAAATATAAAATCTATTCCTATAATTTATTAAAAATCTCTTTAAAGTGAGATGGAATATTGGTGCTTCATATTCCCAGATATTATTTTTTTAAAAGTTCTTTTTCTGCAACAACTCAAGTTTTGCAAAAACCCCAAAAATGAAGGTAGATTCTGGAAGCAGAGCCTGTATTGCTGTTGCTTCTGAGGGGGTACCAGATGAGAGCAGGACAGCTCTTTAGACATTTACATTTAAAATTCTTGAAGAATCTCTAAAGCAAGATTGAGGACTAAGCATTTCTATGGGAAGGATTCTGTAGACTCCTTCATCCTGCAATATGCAATTAAGAGGAAGTTGTGTCTGCTCTTTAAACACACCAGAGTATTGCACCAGGTTTTATATATGTGCTCTCCTGGGGTACCGGATATCCTGTTCTGTGTCTTGCTGCAGTGGTTTGAGCTGCTGTCCCTTCTGTCAAGGATCACACTGACACTCCTGATCCATTCTCATGTCATCTGACTCTGTGATGTCTTAGTGAAGTGAATTTGGGTTGCCACCATTCTTCCTGTACATCAGGTCTTAACTAAAGACCCTCCCAGCTTTTGGCTGCCTCTTTCCACTCTTCTGCTACAGGTTTGCACACCTGCAGTAATCCAACAGCTAAAGCCACAAGAGGACCCTTGAGTTTAGGATGGCTCTGCTGTTGCTGGACATCACAGAAGGTGTAGTTCATTTATCTTTTTCCAGTTTTCTTTTGTGGTCTCAGCTTGCTGCTGGCTGACATCCGTCTGCTTCTCTCCAAGAATGATGGATTGCCGTGCAGTGAGTGTGCTGTAATCTGGTCAGGAAGCAGTTTCTGCAGGTGGGAGCAGGGTTGATGCTTGTCACAATCAAAGGACTGTTGTGAGCAAGGCTCAGCTGATAACTGCTATGAATGCCCAGGCCTTTTTGTCTCTTCAACTTCCCACTGTTACTCAAAAAATACACTTTCCTCTCCTACAAAAGACCTGTCTTTGCCAGTAGTGTTGCAATTATGTACTGGTCAAATTGCACAGTGCTTAAAAAAAAATAGACATCTTCCCGCAGGATGAGTTCATTTAGTTCAGCTTTCTATTTTTGCTTATTTTCTGGACTGTACCACCAAAAAACCCAGCAATTAGACACCCGTTTCTAGAGGAGCTGGAAGAAGGAAGATCATGAAAGGCCCTGGCTTGGCTGGCTTCCAAAAGCATAAGGGCTCATCTGCCACACAGACACTGGGGGTGTTGCATGTGATCTGCTCATTCTGTACTTCAAGACCTTCTCCCTTGTTTGCTTGCCTGTGACCACAGTACATCTGCTACAAAGTTTAGATCAAGAAAGGATGAATCCGCTCTACCATCTCCCCTTTTCTCTGCTTACCAAAGCGTCATGCACTCCTCTGCCTTCCTCTGGCAAGTCACACAGCCTGTGTTACAGCAGAGGGAGTCAGACTGCACAGCTTGCTGGTTCTCTGGGGTGTTTGTAATGACAGCTGCTTCATAGAATTATGGAATGGTTTAGATTGGAAGAGACCCTAAAGATCATCTCATTGCAACCGCCCTTGCTGTGGGAAAGAAACCTTCCACTAGACCAAGTTGCTCAAAGCCCTGTCCAACCTTGACTTGAACTTCAAGGGTTGGGAAATCCACAGCTTCTCTGGGCAACCTGTGCCACGGTCCCACCACCCTCACAGTAAATTTCTTCCTTATATCTAATCTAAACCCTTGTCCTGTCACTTCATGCTCCTGTCAAAAGTCCCTTTCCAGCTTTCTTGTAGCCCCTTTAGGTAATGGAACGTACTAGAAGGTCTTCATTGAGCCTTCTCTTCTCCAGAATGAACAGCCCCAACTCTTTCAATCTGTCTCCACAGCAGAGGTGCTCCAGCCCTCTGAACATCTTTTTGGCCTTCTTTGGACCCGCTCCAACAGATCCACATCCTTTGTATGTTGGAGGCCTCAGAGCTGGATGCAGTACTGCAGGTGGGGTGTCAGGAGAGTGCAGCAGAGGGGCAGAATCACCTCCCTTAACCTGCTGGCCACAGTGTTTGTGATGCAGCCCAGGATGCCGTGGGCCTTCTGGGCTGTGAGTGCACATTACTGAGTTGTGTTGAGCTTCTCGCCAACCAATGCCCCAAAGTCTGTCACCTGTCCACAAGGCAGCTCTGATAAAAATCTGCTCGCACTGCAGGAGTGTCATTACTGAAGATATGTAGCTAACCTAAATTGGGGCTCGATTGTGTTACCGTCATTACCTAAGAAATCCCACTTCAACTCAAATGTTGTAGTGCAACGTGAGCAGGATTTGCCACGGATACACTGATGACTAACTGTGGTACTGTACAAGGCTTCTCAGCTGCTCTCTGGGCTGTAACTGTATTTTTTTTGCCTACTAATAAATTGTGTATGAGATAAATGTGAATAATGTGGTGAAAGAGCAGAGGGGATAAAAGAAGATTTCAGTTAAGGGGTGGCAGAGAGGAGACGAATACAATTAATCTTTTGCTTTGCTGTGTTCTGCCTGTGGAATTGTATCTAATATATGTTGTTGTTCTTCTTGCCAGGTGGACTTATTCAAAAAGACTCTCTTGTTAATTCCTATTCACCTGGAAGTCCACTGGTCCCTCATTACTGTGAACATCCCCAGTCGAATTATTTCATTTTATGATTCCCAAGGCATTCATTTTAAGTTTTGTGTAGAGGTAAGAGTGACAGCTGTGTCTGTGAAGTTTGAACTGTTTTCTTAAACAAACACTCCCCCCTTTCTTCTGTTCAGCCATAAACTTTAAATGCAGTATGTCTGTCATTGTCCTGCCGTGTATGAAATGAGAATCAGTGTGTCCTGCTGAGCAGTCTGAAGCACAGATCTCGAGGGTCACACCAGAGCTGGGAGTTGAGGTCAGATTGCCTATTGCCTAATTAGGCTGACCATGTAGTCAGCACAGCTTTGGTGACTCTGTCTTGTTACTCCTGCGAAAAGCAGGAGCTCAGAGCCCGGTTCCGTAGGGAAGCAGACGAGCCCCAAGGAGAGTGAGGGTCATTCTTTCATCTGTCAAGGTACTTGTGTTTAGGAAATGATGAATTGTGGTCCTTTTGAGGGTAGGTTACCTGGGTGAGAGAACAGGACTGAGATGCTGTAGTGTTGCCCAGTGGGGTTTACGTGTAACCGTGCTACTAACAGTGTGTTGCCTTTTTCCTTGGCCTGCGTTGGTACGCGCGGGGTGTTTGCCTCTGGTTATAACCCAGCAACCTTTAAAGGCTGTGACCTAAACACTGGAGTTAAATTATCAGTCTTCCTGGTAAAGAGCAGCCAGGAAATTTTTGCTGGGCCTAGCAAATTGTAATGACTTTCTTACAAAAGCTAATTTTGTCAACTTAATTGCTTGCTTGATGCAGCAGCCTTCTACTTTTAACTGTGTGTAGTTGTTGGCTTACAGAAGAGTAGTAATTATTGTACCCAGGAGAGTTCCCAGCTAGGACTTCTGAATGAAGATAGTATGCCTGCTGGCATTTGCTGAGGATGAAGCTAATGTTTGTCCTGGGAGCAAGAGATCTCATGCTCTCAAGTTTCTGAATGTGCAGCATAAACCAGGGGTCCCTTTCAGCAGCCCCGCGGTCTCTCCTGCAGTCTTGCAATGTGGCCTCTCCCATCCCACTCCAGGCAAGGCATTTGTATCTGAATGTCTCACAAACATGAGACACTTTTATTGCTGCCCTTTCTAGGGGAAGGAGGTGAGCAATATCCCAAACTCCACTGTGATCCACACACTTAAGCTGAATATTTGTGTGCTACCATGTGTTTAAATTGTGCTATAAACCCCCAGCCTGTTTGCAGAGAAGTAGAAGGATTTGCTTAACCCAAGACCGTAGTCTCATTTATCTTGCTTCCTTCCCTTTGCTTGTGTCAGCTTATTTTTTCCTGTATGTCACTAAAACTGTCCCTGGAGCTTTGTTGATTAGCTACAGAACTCAGGCGTGTTGTGTTGAGGTTCGGGCAGGAAAATGTGATCGTATCGAACGCAAGGGCCTTGGTGTCAGCCAGTAAGCCAGGAAAAAACACATGCCAGGCTGCACTGTGTTTCTCTGCATGTCTGGGAACACTCTGACCTTGTGTCTGAATGCCACAGCTAGTCTGGTATGAAGTATAACAGTGGGGCTGAGGGGTGTTAGAGCTCCCCCTAATAGACCAAAATGAGCCTTGATGGTAGAAGGCACAAGCACCCACCAGAGTTCATGTCTTTACCTCTAGATCTGAGCTCAGCTCCTAATGCTCACATGAAATTTGTCCTCCTTGTCAGAAGGATAGCAGACAAGATGGCAATGTCTCTCTCCTGTTCTTTAGCTGGTGAATAATACTGTTGCTTTTTTCCTTTCCTCTTTAAAGAACATTCGAAAGTATTTGCTGACTGAAGCAAAAGAGAAGAATCGCCCCGAGTTCCTTCAGGGTTGGCAGACTGCTGTGACAAAGGTAATAGCAGCACTTTGAGCCCTGGAATCTGACTTTGTGGGAGATTTCATGAGGCTGCTTCTAAACCCATATATTTGTACAAGTAGTAAATGGGTTTATGCTGCACACGTGGAGGGTGCTGTGAGCGATGCAGGTAGTTACACATGGGAATTTGAGCTCTCTTGCTCATTCAGCTCCTACCAGGTCTTTACCACTTTCTGCAAGTGACTTGGTGATCTGAGCCTTTCTCTGGACAATTATATATCGTGCAGCAAAACCTGCGGCTGGTGCCCATATTGACACGAGGTCAAGGACTGAATGAACTGGATACTCAACTTCCTCCCTTCTCCTGAAAGGGCTGTTCTGAATGCCAAAAGGATGGGGTTTGGTGAAAGAGGGAACAGGCTGATGCTGCTACTGCCAATATTTTATGTTTGCTATGGATAGAGGGCTTTGGTCTCCAGGGCTGTTTGTGGCACATTGCGTTTGATCGCAAGTAAACGAAGTCTGGCAACAATAAAAGGGAATAACTTGTGTGTAGTGTAAATGAGGGGAATATGTAATTTGTGTAGCCATCCCATAATGGCTCCAAAGATATAAAACAGGTCATTGCACACTAGACATACTCCCAACAGCTCCCTCCTCACACAGGTTTATTTTTAGATGCTGATACAATGATGAAATGATTCCTCTCTGCACTCATGCACAACCTGTGCAGTCAGTTCGTTCTCCTGCATTCTGTGAGGCAGAAGATCTGAGAGTTGAGGAAAAACAATTACTTCTCTTCAAGTGCTGGAGACATAACAGCACCAATGTGTGGAACTTTTTAGCTCTGCATATCAAAATTGAGCATGTTTGAGGAAATAATGAAGGTTGGAAGTTATCATTTGAGACTGCCTTGTTCAGTCCTGTTGTCTGGCAATGTACCATTCATCGTGTTCTCTGAGACCCTTTGCTGTGGCTGGGGGAAGAAGGCCACTGCTGGTAGCATGGGTGCTGAGAGTAATCTTCCTCTAGGCCTGTGTGACTTTGCTGATACAGTTTTGTCCTGTGTAAAGCAGATAATGCTGTACAAACATTTATTTAAACTAATTGAGAAACTGTTCTGTGTAGGTCACTAAAAGAAAATAAACTTGAAATAAAGACTTGTAATTTATTTTCTGTCCTACACTATATATTTTTCTAAATGTTAGGTGTTATTCTAATAAGGTGTTTGAGTGTCACCTTGCAAAATGTGGGATCAGAGTAAATAATTGCAACTCCAGTTTCTGGTGCTGCAGAACAGCTCTTAGAACGAGACGACTGATCGCTATGATGATCTCCTTTTGGACTTTAAACAGGAATTAGAGAACAAAAGGAGAAGTAAAAGGATAAAGATCTAACATGTCTCTGCTTGTTTCTTTTCTTTTTAGTGCATTCCACAACAGAAAAATGACAGTGACTGTGGGGTTTTTGTGCTCCAGGTAAGAGTACTGCTTTTTACAATCAGTGGCCTGTATTGTTCATATAGTAAATGTTCTTTATTTCAACCAAGCCTTTTCCTTTTCCCCAGTACTGCAAGTGCCTCGCCTTAGACCAGCCTTTTCAGTTCTCCCAGGAAGATATGCCCCGAGTGAGAAAAAGGATTTACAAGGAGCTGTGTGAACGCCAGCTAATAGACTAATAAAATGCAGCCAACCTAATTTCTCTGGCATTTCTGACAAGTTGCAGCTGGTGTTTGTGTACTTGAATTTCTGAAAACTTCCAAGAATTTTGAGTGATTCTCAGCTGAGTGGTGTGGCCACTGTCGTTACCTCAATTTTTTGACAAGTTCTTTAACTGGCAGAACATAACAGAGCTGCCGTAGAATATTCCTAATGTCAGTTTGGTTCTCTTATGTTCTTTCCTGTATTTAATATTTATTATCTCAGCATGCATATAGGCAAAGCATGCAACTAAAACCATAAAACTGTAGATTTGGTGCACCTTTGAGATGTAGCTAGAAATGACAAATACAGGTGAATTTGTCTGGAAACATAAAGATGCATGGTATGTTTTCTGATGCAATAATGCTTTGAATGTATCAAAAAAAATCAATGCCATAAAAAGAACAGCTAGAACCTATTTGGTAGTTACATTGTCCCTGTTGTGGCTGTACAATACTGAATACCACTTTTTAGGGTGGCTAAGCTCATCTACAGTTCTAATTTGTGAAGACCCCTTTTTAAAATAGTTCAAATTGGTAATAAAGTTTGTTCTGTTAACATTTATCTGGCTGCCATTATCAGCCTGTCCCTATAGATAAAAAGCAGCCTTTGCACAAATAAAGCTTCAGCACTTGTCTCTATAATAGGAACTACAGAAGTGTTCAGTCGGTCAGATTGATTTAAGTTCCTAGATGCTGCAGAAGTCTCCATGATGTGTGTATTAAGGAGAATTACAAAGCTGGCCCTGAAGAGTCACAGCTTAGATAGTAAGATAAACTCCTTGGCTGTAACTGTTTACATCTCAGATGGTTTTGAGTCATTTCTCAGATCCACAATATGCAGTGAAACGTACCATTTTGGCATTTCTTCCTTCAGCTCTGTCTTCAAAGCTTGTTGTCTTTAACCTCCCGTTGGCTTTTGCTTTTGTTCAAATATAAATTAATTCATTTCTGCTGCATCTGCTGTTTGATTGTCCCTGATTTGTTTGCGTTCAGTAGCACCGATGGGTCTGGTTGGTAATAACAGCGTTTGTGGTGGGTGCTGTACAGACACAACGAGGTCGTGTCACTCTGCTCCGGAGGGGTGGGAGGCTGCGAGTCCGGCACTGAGCTTTGTGGTGTTATTGCACTGGGCAGGGATGGGTGAGAGCAGGGGATCTGTTGGTTTTTCACCTTGGTCTGTAAACTATGATGTGCTCCTTGCTGAAGAGAGCTACTTCTGTTTGAAGAGACTTGTCTGGCGCTGCTACACCAGCAAATGTCTTTGCTGTGTTTTTCTGCCAGATAAAGGAGTGAGCCCAGAGAAAAACTATTTTCATTGCTAAACATCATCTGTTGCACAGCTTCACTTTGTGTCTGTCCATAGTCCTGGCTTCCACTGGAGGAAAACCACTTTGACTTCCTTGTCTTGCAAATTAATTCAGACTTGAGCTAAGCCAGGTGCAAATCCCTCCTAAAGGACTGGAGGGAGCAGGGGGAAGTGAGGGAGTGCCAAGCACAGTCAGGCTGGGAAGTGGAAGCGTATGTGCACTGTGCTGTGCTAGAGGAGTTCCTGCAGTATCCTTGCGTGTTCCCACTTCCCCTTGTTGGCAGCTGGCAAGGACTGGCTTAATTTAGCAAGATAAGGAAAGCTTTAAGCACTTGGTTAGATAATTTAAACAAGGAATTTATTGAATCAGAAAGAACCTTAAGACCCAGACAGGCTAAACATACATTTGCCCATCGAGTAATGCAGAGCACCGCACAGCACATGGTTTAATTGTGTTTCCCTGAGATGTTACTGGTAAGAGCAGCAGCAGCACCTTTTTTGGGCAACTGATTGTGAGCAATGGAGGGTGACTTCCATGAAAATTGCGATTTGGGATGTGGTTTCTCGTATGGGATAGCACATGTGAGCCAGTGCTGCCATTCTTGTCTTCTCTCTGCTCTGGTATCACGTGAACAGCTCCAATGCTTATTCTGCCATGTGATGGGACAGCTGATCCAGGCTACAACTAGCCCAGAGGACAGAGGAGTTCTCACCTCGATGCAGCTTGTTACTGTATGTATATACCAGTATGAATGAATACTCAGGTGGCCAGGAAGAGACATGAAGGTGGTGCCAACTTTGGGTGCATGCAAGGCAGGCTTTACTCTCAAGCAAGACTCCTGGCAGAAAGGGAGTGGAATACAGAAAGAGAACTGCATAAGCAAGTTGCTTTTATTTTCAGAATTTAAGCTATTTGGTAAGGAAGCTTGAAAGGTCCCGTTACACCGTATCAGCCTGGGAGACTCGGTGCCTCTGAGAAAGACCCTTATGTTTTTTGTGAAAGTTGCCTCGTTGATGGATGTTTTTCATTGCATGGGAATGTGCTGAAGCACTGGACTACAGGCAGTTGTTCCCTAAAGCTTGGTGCCTGCTGCTGGTTAGTAGGTATCCATCTTCCTCTTATAGGAGAGGTAGTGAGGAGTCTTTAATCGCGATCCTTTATCAGCAGCATCTGCAAAAGCACAGTATTCCTGTGAACTGCGTGTTTAACGTGGGTGCTTTGAAGCACGTGCATATGTGTCCCAGATCGTTTGAGGGGAGGGGGATTGCATTTGAATGTGCTGCCTTGTGAACTGGGGAACAGGGTGGGGAAACATGCATGTTGGAAAGTACTTCTTATGTGCTTTCTTGTCATCTAGAGGTTTCCTGACAAGTGTTCCAGTTGGTTATGGGGCAGCACAGAGGAGTTGCACTTGAATCTCCAGCTGTGAACACACCAGTGAGGGGCCTCTGAAAAAAAAGGAGGGGAAATTGAAAACAGAGCTAATGTAAGCAAAGTATGTTGGTGCAGGGTTGAAATTAATCACAGACAGTCGGAATCTCAGGCTCTGTAATGGTGTATCCTGTGAAACTGGACTAATTAACTCCTCCTTGAGAATGTCTTTGATGCCTTAAAGGAGATGGACTCCATAATCTGTAGTCATTTTACTAGTTCTTAAAACATTCAGAACTATGTAGAGTGTTTTTATTATGAGAGGCACATTTATGTGGATGTAGTTATGGCTGTTAGCAATTCCATTAATGTGATCTTCAGATTTTCATAAATCACTCTGAACTGGTTTGGTGGATGCTTAAATTTCACGACTTGTTCCAAAGAGATTGTCTCGCTGTGCTGATTTATACAAATAGTCCCAGAACTGGTGAAGCCTCTGTCTCCTGTGTGACAAATTTAAGCTACCTGAGTTGTAATAAACCTTAAACAGAATTGAAAATGAATTATCAGTTTCCATTTCATTTGCTTTAATCTATAGTCTTAAATGACTGTGTCCCTGATACAAATCAATAAATGCAGAATGTGGCCTTGATTCTGCAAGGTGAGTAGAGAGATGCCTATTGCTGAGCTGGTGGGTACTTGCAGAATGGAGGCTGCTCCTTTGTGCTATCTGCTCTGCAGTTGCTCTGTTCTTACCTGGCTCTCTTGAGTGTGAAGGTGATATTTTGAATGTTTCACATGCACTGACTACCAAGCCAGACAGTCTTGCGCACAGTTACTGCCTTGTGTTGTATCTCCAGTGTAATGCTTAACCTACCTTTACTTTCTGAGAGTTTTGATTGGCATTATCTACTGTAGCATTTACTCAATTCATCGTGAAAATTTGAACCTCAGGAAGTGGAGTCAACTCCACTGAGCAGCAACTGTGCGTCGTGGGTGTGCTCTTGCGTTGAATGAAGTCCACGTTCCTGTGAAGTAATAAAATTGAGTTTTACCATAAACCCTATTTTCTTTCAGTGGTTTGGTTTCAGTTTAATTTTAAAAGCAACTGATGTGATGGTTGAGGGAATGTTTGTAGCAGCTTGTTTTGGGATCTGTGTTATTAGGAGAAGCCTCTCCAGTTGATTAGTTCAATAGCTCTGAACTGCACGCCAATGATGCTCTCTGTCTTGCAGTGATATAACTTACTGGGGTTTGACTTCTGACAACATACAAGTTTGGAGATGTCACCCATTGCATAAATAAGGGTGGAAATCTTGCATTAGACACTTTATACTAAGGTGGCATTTAAAAAACACAAATCTGTCAACAGAACACGTAGGACTTAAATTGCTTTTCTGGATCAAACTATATTAGTGCCCTTCTTGTATTACTTGTGGATTTAGCCGTGTAACTATAGAGTTAAATCTTGTCTTTGCCACGTTTTTCAAAACTATACAGCTTGTGAATTTGTGATAATGGTGAGAATGAAGGCTTAGCAAATGTCTCTTTAAGCTATTAATCATGAGACTGGCAACATCATTGTCTTTATTACATTCATAATTTAAAAATCCTATCATGGAGGAGGATACATGGATGCTTGTTAAATATATTCTTCAGTGGAAAGTACTAAGAAATCAGATCATTAAAGTACAGAATCATAAGAGACACTAGAGCCTTGCCAGGAACAATAATTACTATTTATATGTAATAGGCACTGGGAGGGAAGGAGATGAGTCTGATTTGCTTGTGCCTGAACTTAATGGGTTTTATGAGTAACCAACTAGAAGGATTTGGGGATTGAATTTCATTTTGGAGCATATAATATTACAAACTATAGAGCTAAAAACTGTTGCAAACTGAGTGAAATATCTTGAGAAATCAACTGGTTTGTTTTCTCTCAACACAAGTAAGCAGAACATGTGCGAAGCAGCTCCAGCTCCTGCCTGAAATTCTGATGAGTTCTTAATTCTTGGGTTTGATTTGACCATTGCTGGTAACTCACCTCCCCTAATGCGGCACTTTCTTGAGGTTACAGACCTTACCTAATGCTAAGGTTACCTGGGGCAACTTTGGGAAGTGGCTGAGAGGAGGAGGGATCAAAAATCCATTGGGGAATCTGCTTGCACCACCTTGTGATAAATGTGTTGTGGGAGGAAGGGCAGGGGAGTAACTGAGCTTTAAACAAGATGTATTTAGCTGGATAATGTGGGTCAGGTCATGTTTATGGTACATGAGCTTGTTGCAGACAAGGAGCCATCTTGTTTAAGGAAACCTTTGGTCTGAGTAGGAGAGAAATGTAGGGAAGAGGTACCTTCTGCAGGGATCATTACTCTGCCTGTAGGAACGCTATGTCTTGCCTCAAGCCCGTGCATTTTAGATCAACTTAATGCAGGCAGCAACTGCAGCAAAGGAGAAAACTCCCTCTGCAGTGTTCAGCTGAACATCACGTTTGTTTAGGGCACTCGGAGCTTGACAATTTCTCCTCAGGCTCTCTGACAGCTCCAGCCCATTGAAAATCTGACAGGCAGCTGCTGCTCCTCTGCAAACACGGGGCTGCCCGAAGGCACTTACAGATTCAGTCGATTCCAGCTCACCTTTCAGTTCCTGGCTTCTTTGGGGTTTTAGGTTTGACAGAGGGCGGGGGGGGGGGAGGGAAGTGAGAGGGGTTGTTGTTTTTAAAGAAGTCTGAAGTACAGGTAGTTTTAAGGTAAATCATTCAGGAAACTTGGCTTAGGACATCTGCTCTCAGTTTTGCATACTGAAATGCTTCTGTTTCACGATTAATGGGCAGAAAAGAGTCTTCGGGGCAGAATTTTTGGCAGAGTTTTGGGTTTTGTCCTCCGGTGGATGACCCTTCAGGTAAATGTTTCTTTTTCCTTTAGAACATAAATATAGCTAAAAGATGCTTAAGAACTAATGAGATGCGTTGCCTTAAATTAATGGCCACTTAGGATTCTTATAGGCACTTGATTGTCCCCAGACAGGATGTCCTAGTCTTTAGAAGGAACTGGGATGTATTTTGAGGGATCAGCGCTATTTAGAAAACAGGGAGCATACAGGTTCAGCTCCCAAATTCACCGTTTGATCATTTTACAAACATCAGAACCCAGCATTTGGGTTCTGGTGCAGTTCTTAGCAGGGCTGTAGCTCATGGCCTTTCCTGTGGCTGGGGGGGTTCCCTGGGTTCAGCCTGAGTCAGATAGATCTTCCCAGGGTACTCTTTGGCCACCAGATGT